TCTCCGGGGGTTGGGGGGGGGGGAGAGAGTGGCGGGTGAAGGTGCCCGAACGCCTCGCGATCGACTGGTCAAGGCCTCGCAATCGACCAGTTGATCGCGATCGACGGGTTGGTGACCACGGATCTAGACTGTAGGACTGGGATTCCAGTACTGTTTTCCACATTGCAAAAACCTGCATGCAGTCGAGGCTTTTCTTCTCCAAAAAGTTAATAAAGCAGCATGCCTGCTGCCAAGCTCTAAACCCATAAAATCAATGGGACAGCACTGGATCCCAGAAAAATGTTGCTATCAACTGGAAATTGTTAATATCAAGATTGCTATTAGGAAGCATCTGCTGTAGTAAAAAATAATCAGGTCCCAGATTCTACTTTGAAAAATGGTAAATATTTTAAAATTCTCCAAAAAGTTAATAAAGCAGCATGCCTGCTGCCAAGCTCTAAACCCATAAAATCAATGGGACAGCACTGGATCCCAGAAAAATGTTGCTATCAACTGGAAATTGTTAATATCAAGATTGCTATTAGGAAGCATCTGCTGTAGTAAAAAATAATCAGGTCCCAGATTCTACTTTGAAAAATGGTAAATATTTTAAAATTGATATTTTACTATCCAGAGCAATTTTACTTAAGACGCTGCTTGTAAAGAGAAATTCTGAATATGTAGTGCAGCTGAAACCTCTATGAAGCAAAAGAGGCGTGCATTTTTACTTTTGGATTAAAGCAAGAGATTCTCAACCTTTTTCTTTCTGACCTCTCCTCTCCTCCAACAAGCTATAAAAACTCCAATTATGTCACGGCTGTCCTTCTGCATATAAAAGCAAGGGCTAGCATAACTGCCTACAGCAACTGCATGCAGCCCCATGTCACAGGGGACACCACGAAGTTAAGCAGCTCAGGTTTCAGCATGACGTTGGGTGGTGAGGCTTAGAGTGGTGGGGCTTCAGCTTTGTGCCCTGGGACACAGTGAATCTAATATACATCCTGCTTGGTGGATCCCCTGAAACCTTCCTGTGACCCCTTGAGAGCTTTGGATCCCTGGCTGAGAACTGCTGGTTTAAAGACTTGTGAGAGTTTAAGTAGCTCATTCCCCACCACTTTAACAGAACAAAATAGCTCCATCAATTACTTAGTGCATGTTTCTGGATTAAAACGCCCATTACCTGGCACCAATTAATAGGAAACTTGAAAAATATAAAAGCAATTTTGCTGCAGGTTGCACATCTCTAAACTGGGACCCTCTGGTCTGTCAACTTCCATAGGACCACAGATATTCCTGGAGGAGAGAGCAGGAGGGCCAGCAGCAGGGAGCCCAGCAGGACTGAGAGCCTAGAGGAAGCTGGTGATAGCAGGGCTAGTCCAGCCTGGTCGCTGCCTGGCAGCAAAACTAGTGCCATAGCACCCTGGGCAGCAAGGGGGCCAGACCACAGCCATCGTAGCCTGGACAGATGCAGGGCAATGTCAGCCCGGCTGGGGCCATGACAGCCCAGTAGGGGCCAGGGATGCATGCCATCCAGCAACAGGGTCGGGGGCTGCCTGAGTGATGTTGGGCTGGGATTACAGCAGCCCAGGCAGCAGCAGTGTCAGGGCTGCAGCAGCTTGGCAGAGGCATTGTTCCACTTGAGCAGCAATGAGGACAGGGACCACCAATTCTTGAATGGCAGAGGAGCCGGGGCTGCTTGCTGCCCAGCAGGGAGGTCAGGGCCACAGCAGCCCAGCCAGCAGCGGGGCCAAAGCAGCCCAGCTGGGGCCGGAGCAGCCCACAGCCGGCAGGTGGGAGGGGCGGCAGGCTATGGGGCCATGGCAGGAGACCTCCTTTGGGATCCGTCAGGTCCTGAGGGTGCCAGACTAGGGAGGTCCAACCTGTAGCTAGATAACAAACTGGAAACTTAGCTTCATGACAGAGCAACCTACCTTGTGGGCTTACTGTTGTAGAAGTTGGCACAGCTGCTTGGTGCTGGTTTCCCAAAGCATTCAGAGCATTCTGAACAGTCCCAGCTTGAGAGACTGTCTGCATGACAACTGGACCCTGAGGCCGCAAATACTGCTGGCCTGGAGCTGAAACAATCTGAAGAACACTTCCTGCAATTGTGAGTTAAATGGAAAAAAAAGTCATATTTCCACAACAGATAATGTATGCCCTGCTGGGAATATCTGATTCAAAGTGACAACATTAAAAAGGTACTGTTTATCTAATGCATGTTATTAATTTAAGAAAGTTTGTAAAATTACCTCATTTTTACAAGCCAGACTAAAAAGGCAGCAAAGCAAGGTATTAAACATCTGTATAGTTATTTGATTTGTAAATTACTCCCATTTATGTATTCTCCCCCCACCCAATATGGAATACAGGCAGTCCCCAGGTTACGTACAAGATAGGGACTGTAGGTTTGTTCTTAAGTTGAATTTGTATGCAAGTCGGAACTGGTACATATTGTAGGGGAAACTCTAGCCAAACATTTCTCCAGAGCTCAGTTTTATTCTCCCACACCTCACTTCCCTCAGTCCTTTATTCTCAAGCTGAGGTGTCTGCTGAGAAAAGCCACTCCGCGTCTCCCTAGTCTGCTGGGGGAGGGGGGGGGGGCGCTCGCTTCGCATCTCCCTGGCCTGCTGGAGGGAAGCAGCTAGTGTGGGGTTGCCTCACCCCGTTTGTAAGTAGGGATCCGATGTAAGTCGGATCCATGTAACCCGGGGACTGCCTGTAGTTGAATCTTAATTTTGCTGTACATCTAATTTACTTACTGGATTCAAAATTTATCATTTTCTTTTATGAGGACAATCATCTAAATTAATTACATAAAGAAATATCCCCACTTAGGAAGAAAGACACTTATGTAGGGCCACACCAAATCCATAGCCATGAAAAACGTATTAGGGTCCATGAAATCTTGTCTCTCCCCGTGAAATCTGGTCTTTTGTGTGCTTTTTACCCTATACCAGTGTTTCCCAATTTTATTTGGCCGAGGAACCCTTTTCAGCTTTTCAGAATTTCAAGGAACCCCTAGATTTGTCAACCAAAAAAAAAGGGGGGGGGGGGCATGAAAATCACATTCCTTCCGAGACCCCCCTCACCCCCTTTCCTTGAGGCTTCATTCACTCTGTTCCCCACCTCTCCATCACTTGCTATTCCCAGCCCTTATACACTCTCACTAGGTTGAGACAGGAGGTGTGGGGTAAGAATGAAGGATGTGGGTGTGGGAAGGGGTGAGAAGTACAAGCTCTGGGAGGGAATTTGGATGCAAGAGAAGGGGATGTTGGTTCGGGAAGGGGTCTCCAGGGAGTGTTGGGCTCAGGTGGAAGGTTGGGGTGCTGAGCAAGCCATGGGATTGTGGATGTGAGGGTGCAGGAGTTTGGACTGGATATGTGAGGGACTCAGGGCAAGAAGATTGTGAGTATGATGGGCTCTGGGCACAGATTTGTGATGTGTGGATGGTGCAGGACTGTTGTGGCAGAAGACTGAGGATGTGGGGATGCAGGAGTTTGGGGATGTAAGAGGCTCAGGATAGGGAGTTCCAGTGTATAATAGGCACAGATTTGGGGTCAGGTGGTGCAGGAGTGTTATGATGCTGCAGTGAGATGGGGGTTTGAACCCAACTGGGGGCTTGTTGGCCAGGCTTAATTTTTAAATAAAAGATTATGTCAAACTCAAAAGGTTTTAACATTGTCTTTATTTATGAGAGGGGTGAGGAACCTGTT